CGGGGTGGGGGGCCGTGGAGGGGGTGGGGGTGGTGGAGGTTTTTCTTGCAGACAATCAGAACTTGCTTGACCTCCATGCGCATCAGCGTTTTCAGAAGGGTTTCATCCCAGGTTGTGCTTTTGGGCCTCTCAAGAGAATTTGTTTTAAAAAGGACAAGACCTGGTCGGCCATCCAAGCCCTGGTTTGCTCTTTCATAAAGCACCAGTCTTGTTGCCTCATATTAATTTAATTGCTGCTGATGGGTCAGTTCTCTGCCTGGGTCCCTGTACCGGCCGCCGGCTGAGAGGACAGCCCCCAGCACATCTCTCTCATGTGGAGATTTTTAATGGCAAGAACCTGACTGGACGCAGGCTGACAAGCCCCAGGGGAGTTTGTGGGAAGGGCGGGGAGGAGGCACGGAGCTGAAGGCAGGGTTCACCCAGGAGGCCTGCGGGCCAGAGCTGGCAGCTCCAGGGGCCTGGGAAGCTGTAGCTCTCAAATGAGCTCCTGGGGCACAGCCACCAGCTGGCTCGTCTCCAGCCAGGGAGTCCCAAATTCCAGGGAGAGGCGGCCGGCCCCGGGGGTCCCTGCCCACCCAGGCCGTGGGCGATGGGAAAAGAGAAAGGGGCACCGTAAGTGCAATGCCAGGAACCAGGGTTCAAGGAGGGACGACTCTCTAAAAACAGGGCTTTCACCAGCGGAGGGGAGGGCAGCCCCGGCGCCTGCTGTGCGGGCCCCGCAGACCCAGGACTAGCACAAGCACCGGCCCAAAGAGCCTGCCCTTCTTTACACCATGAGCGTGAGCGGTCAGCCCCCTTCTCCGTCCTGACCTGGTCGCGACAGCTCGGCTCCTGTTCCCGTTCCTCTGCTTCCCAGCCTTGTCCCGTAACTGGACCCGCCCCGCGCGCCAGCCAGCCTGGGCCGCTGCACAGGTGCGGGCACAGCTGCGGGCACAGGTGCGGGCACTGACGGGTGCTTGACCGTTGCTGCCCCTAGAAGCACAGGTTTAACTAGAAGCAGCCATGTTACGTTTTCTTAGGTTTGCAGAGCTTTATAGCAAATACCTAGTTTCCCCTAAAAAGCAAGCGTCGCCGCTGCGCATGGTCTCCTCACTGCGCTCTTCTGTTCCAGGGCCCGCTGTCCCTGGCCTTCGAGGAGGACCCGCAGCAGCAGCCCCTGGAGCTGGCGGTGCAGCAGGTCTCGAGTGCAGCCGGCTCGGCCCAGGAGAAGGTGAGCTGGGCGCCTGTGCAGGGTCTTTCCTTACCGAGGAAGCGGGTTTGAAGCTGGTGGGGTGATTTATTCTGTCTTAGAATTATTTGAAAATGCAGACATCTTACATTAAAAAAATCTGCTCCGTCGGCTGGTGATGGATAAATACAAGGTGGACTCTCGATACAATAGAATGTGATTCAGCTCTAAAAGGAATGAGCGTCTGACACAGGCTACAACATGAATGGGCCTCGAAGACATTGTGCTCAGTGAAAGAAGCCAGACACAAAAGGCCACATGTTGTAGGGTTCCATTCGTATGAAATCTCCAGAACAGATAAATCAGTAGACACAGAAAGTAGACTAGTGGTCACCAGGGCTGGGTCGGGGTGGAGTTTAAGGGGAAATGGGGGTGACTGCTGTGGGTACAGGGTTTCTTTTGGGGGTGACAAAAACGTTCTAAAAGTGATGGTGGGAATGCTTTTTACAACTCTGTGAAGTATATTTTAAAAACATTCGATTCTACAGTTTAAATGGGTGAATCATATGGTATGTGAATTTTATATGCACGTGTGTGTATATGTATATATTCCGCAGGGTGACATATAGATTCGAGCCATTTAGATATCACGTAGAGTGCATTTTACAGTTGCTCACCTTTCACAAGCTGACCTGCAGGGCTGTGTGGAGGGGGATCCCCCCCCCGTGGGGCACTGCAGAGAGCCATCGCCTCTAAAGTCCCCTCCAGGGCCTCCCTCCGCCTCCTGTCCAGTCTGACAGGCACTGGGCACCCTGCCCTCTCCCAGACTGTAATCATCCGCTTACACAGAGCAGCGAGGTTCCACCTACGATCTCTTTCCTCACGTCCTGGGAGAGGCTCTCTCTAGAATGTGTGACCCAGAAAAAAGAAACCTTCATTTCGATGTTGCCTGTGGCCTGTGAGCCAGCTCTTGCTCCGCACGATGTAGCAACAGCCCTTCCTGGGCTCCCAAGTCACATCCCTGGGCTCCAAAGTCCCCTGTGAGACTCAGTGCAGACATGGGGTCCATGAGCCCACGTGGAAACACCTCGAATGTGAATCAGCGTCTGAGGGTTTGTACTGTGACAGGTGCTTTGTTGAGATGGCCACACACGTCTTTTATTTCGGGAGCTGGCTGTCTTTGAATGTAATGGGTATTTGGAAAGCTCGCCGGCGAACATGCCTGGAACAGTCTTGAGAGACCGGCAGCGTTGTTGGCGTCTTGGTGTGAGGCCGGGTGTCGTGTGAAAAGCATCATGCATCTTTGATTTCAGCGCCATTTGTAAACAATTAGAGGCTTCTAATTAATGATCAACTGTGGGTTAGAGTTTTAGATCCACGTAATAACCCAGCCAGTGTGGAGCCGAGCTGTGAAGCCGGGAGACTTTGGCTGGCTCTGGGCCTGCTTCGGGTGCATCTTTCTCTCCTGAGAGGCAGGTGCTGTGCCTGTGAAGTATTAATCCCTCGCTGATGGGGCTGGGAGGGCGCCATCCTGCACGGTACCCAGCACGACGCCCGCTGTGTCGTCGCTCCTGATGCTGTTAGGTGTGACCAGCCTGGGCGATGGCCTCGTGTCCACTCTTACTGTGCCCAGACACTCCTCTGCCCGGCCAAGTCTCATGCTCACTGTACAGAGGAGAAAACTGAGGCAAAGAGAGTCTAAGTGTCTAAGTCACTTGGCCAAGGTGACTGAGAGCTACTAAGTAGCAGAGGCTGAATTTGAACCCCAGTCGGCCCCCAGAAATGAGCTCCAACCGCTGCACAGCGCTGTGACTGTTATTTCTGTATTATTTCACTTAAGCCCTCACTCCCACCCTCACCAGGAAAGAGACGATGAAGATGAGAAAAGAACTGAAAGGCACTAACCAACCGATGCTTCCCTAAAGCCAGGGCAACACAGAATTGGGCAGTGGCCTAGGACTTCCCCAGAATCCTTCTGCGTGGCCGGCATTGGAAGTGTACTGTGTGCACGTGGTTTTTTACTAAGGTTGCCTGTTAGCCATTTATATACTGAAATATATACTCTGAGCTCCTGGCGTCTCCTCTGCGCTTTCCACACCTCAGTGGGCCCCTTGGTTTGCAAAGTAGCCTGGTTCAAAGTTGTTGATGTTTGTCTCTCTAGTTGCAAACAGGATGCTTGGTTGGCCTTTTTTTTTTTTTTTTTTTTTTTCCCTGCTTTGCATGACTTGAACTTCCAGGTACTCCATTAGCCTGGCATTTATGCTAAAATGCTAACAGGTTGTGAAATTGTTTTGAACAGAGTCTTCCCTAGGGCAGGTGCTTATTCCTGGGAGGGCCACCTGCCACCTGTTTGTTTGGGTTACAATGTACAGAATTCTGGGCTCGGTAGCCGTCGGCATGACCTCACCTGGAGAAGACTGGGTGAGAGGAGCAGGCTATGGTTTTGTGTGTGTGTTGAATACAGAACATGGGTGTTGGGCGTGACAGAGTGACCTGGCCCAGGACGAGAGCACTAATACCTAGCTGGGAAAAGCCTCAAGTTCTTGCCTTTCATCTTAGAGGAAATGTATGTGTTTCTTGTTTGTTTTTTTAATTTTTTTATTGATTTTTGGAGAAACGGAGAGGGAGAGAATCAATGTGAGAATGAAACATCCGATCGGCTGCCTCCTACAGGTCCCCGACCGGAATTGAACCTACAGCCCAGGCATGTGCCCTGACCTGGAGTCCAACCCACAACCCTTTGGTGCCTGGGACAACGCCCAACTACCTGAGCCACAGGGGCCAGGTGTTTCTTTATACGGAGGTGATGAAAGGGAACCTCACGTGCATGGATTTGGAAGCTGAAGAATGCACAGCAGACCACACTGTGCAGGGAGACACCTCCTGGAACTATAACGTTACCGAAGCCTCCCCTTCACTGTAAAGTATCCCAACAAGAGAGGCTGTTGCTGGGGGCAGGGGCCAGGGCCCCGGTTGTCCCAGGCATGCCCCTTGAGCATGTCCCCAGCATTCCTTGGGCTCGGCTGCCCTCTTGTTTCCAGCATTTTCCATCTCAGCCCACTGGGAGAGTTGTATACAAAAATCCACCTTCGGCCACATAATGTGAATGAGTGGGCAGGTGGGGTTAACTTTATAGATGTTCTGATAATTTTTGGCTCTAATGGATTTTACTTTTAAAACTGAGCCTCGCCTGGCCGGGTGTGGCTCAGTGGTTGAGCGTCGACCTAGGATCCAGGCGATCGGGGTTCGATTCCTGGTCAGGGCACAGGCCTGGGTTGCGGGCTTGGTCCCCAGTTGGGGGCGTGCAGGAGGCGGCTGATCAGTGACTCTCTCGTCATTGATGTTTCTCTCTCTCTCCCTCTCCTTTCCTCTCTCTGTAATCAATAAAGATATATTTAAAAAAATAGAAAATAAAACTGAGCCTCTAGAGGCTCCAGAGTAGAAACAGTATGTCAGGTCGGGTCCGCTGTCCTGAGGAATCTTGACAGAGCCCAGACCAGATCGCGGAGCCGGGGACCAGGTCGGATTGGGAATCCGAATGGTTAGTGAAGGAGCTTCCCTTCCATTTTATTTCAGAATTTTCTTCTCGGGATGCCACAAAGGATGATTCAAGTGAAAAATATTCAGCGGCAGAAACCTTTTTTGGATGCGTTTTTCTCTCGGCTGTGTTCCTAGTTCTTTTGGAGACCGAAGTAATTAAATTGTTTCCAGTTCTCCAGAGCGTTCCAAGCAGAGGAGCTCAGGCGGCCGTGCACGAGGCTTAGTGGGAGGGGAAAGAGAGAGAACAGAGGGTGTGAGGACATTAGGGGACTTTCTGGCTGCTGAGCAATAGCCAAACTTGGGAGTGCCGGGCCTGGGATTCCCTGGCCCCCTCTAAACAAAGGAGCACTGTTTCAGGACAAGACCTGTTTGTGTAGGTCTGTGAGCATTTAAGGGACAAGACCTGTTTGTGTAGGTCTGTGAGCATTTAAGGGACAAGACCTATTTGTATAGGCCCGTGAGTATGGAAGGGGTAAGACCTATTTGTACAGGTACATGAGCGTTTAAGGCCTTGAAGCTGGGTTCTGCCCTGCAGGTCGTGATGAAATGTGCTCACTCTCACGTCCCGATGGTGCCTCCATCTGTTGCCTTCTCTCCTGAACCTGGGGGTGGACCAGGGATGCCCTGACCTTCACCTGTCAGACCAGGTGCTTGTGGACCAAAAAAGAAAAAAGGTTCTACAGAAAGTAACCGCACAGGGTGATCTGATTGTAAACTCCTAACTGGGCAGGTCGAGGTGGGTCGTCACCCCTGTGGCACAGAACTTCTTTAGTAAAAGGCTTAGCTTTGCCTTAAGCCAGCCCACCTGTTGTTTCTGTGCATTTAGTTAAAACACCTCTGAAATGCCCCCGTTCGGGCCCCTCCTTCTAAAGCTGACCACCCTCCAGAGAGCCTGTAATCTTAACCACCAGTAATCCGATCCCGGCCTGGCTTTCTCCCACCTCCATGCAACCTTCCTTCCTTTCCTTAATTCCAAATGCATAAAAGAAGCCACTGACTGCATTCTAGGAGGCATTTTTCTCAGCCTGTGGAGATCTTGTCTCCAGGTGTATCCTATGTTTGGCTCATGTTTTATACAACTTCTCAGCAGGTTTGGATGCTTTTATGTCAACATGCTCCTGGAGCTCCCGACTTGCACCTTTGGGTCCCTCGCCGCGAGCAGCCCACCCTTCCATCAAACGCTCTCTGCTGTACAGAGAAAGGGGCCTTATCCGGGACACACGGCTCGGCCTCTGTTGCTTGCTTTTGAAATGGTTTATGTAATCGAGGCGTTCTTTGCTTGCTTTGGGAAAAAATATCTCAGGAAGAAAGCAGCGGGTTCGCGGCGCCTCTTTTCCAGGGCGCTGTGCTCCTTCCTGTGCTCTCGGCCCCGTGGAGCCTGCGCTGGGGCCCGTGGTTCACTTCTGTTCTCGGCGAAGTCCCTGGTCCCGGCACAGTCACCAGGTGTTTCCGTTTAGATGTGAAGATCCAGCATCGCCATCAGACTGCTTCCCAGGGAAGCCCAGGCATCGGGCGGGGCTGTCACAGCTCAGACTCTGGGGCAGGATCAGGGCCTCTCTCTGTTCAGCGGTCCTTTGGTAGCTGTCAGCCGTGGCCACCCTGGCCACTCAGGTGGCGCCTTGTACCAGGACACCCTGCCGTCCGCTGTTCCAACAGAAGGGCCCCTGGGGGGCAAGGCCTGGCCACTGCTCTCCTGGGTCGAGGGCGTTTAATTTAATGCCCGTTATGGATAACACGTAACGCGCTGCAAGATTACTTCTTCTACAAGCACCTTTCCATTNTTCTTCTAAAAGCACCTTTCCATCCTGTCCATCCATTTGGCAAATGGGCCTTTCTTGCTCTCAGGGGGGCGCCGGGGGCGGAGGCGGCCTGGAGGGGATGGGGCCCCCGTCCTTGTACCTCCCACTGGCCTCCTGGGGGCCGGGTAGCCCTCTGGCCATATTGAAATGTCAAGGTAGGATCCGGATTGTTGTTTTCATTAGCACTTCCAGCCGAACGCTGCAGGGAGGCCAGAAACGGTGGGTCTGTGGGACTTGGTTTTATTTAGAGCCTGGAAGCCATTTGACAATTCTGTCTTTAAGGCTGTATAATTCTGTAACTGTTTAATATTTCATCTATTTCAATTACTCCCGCATCTTTGAAAACCATGACAGGTTAAAATTTATTTAGATAGAACCGATTTCTTGTGTTCTGGATACATTTTTTAAATTGTTTTACTTGTAACATCTGTAACTTACTTTCTTTTTAAGGCTCCTTTAGTGAGAGATGCTGGCTGATGGCTTTCCCTAGTGTGAACATGGAAGTGTTGGGAATTTGAAATCAGCGGGTGTCGAGAAACAGAGCAGAGCAATATTTAAAGGAAAAATCTTTATGTGTGGAGAGAGCTTAACAACTTGAGTTGGGCAAGAAAGAGTTTAACTCCTGAGAAATCCACCAGGAAGAAAAGATCTGAGATTTTTTTTTCCAGCTTTCAGACTGCTATGTAACAGCAAAGATGTGAATCTGGGTATTTTTCCAAGTTTGAAATGGAAGCCTTGCCATTGTTGACCTTTGTCTCTCTCAGAAAGGTCCATTAACGCTGTCCCGTCCCTCCGCCAGGTGGTGTCCTGTCGCGTGGTGGGCAAGGCCATCCAGTTCCTGGTCAGCACGGCGCCCGCCTCACCCGAGGACACGGGGCGCCCGCAGTACGGCGTGCGGCTCGCCCCGCTGCATTTACAGGTGGGGCCTGGTGGGCTGCGCGAGGCGCGGGAAACGGTTCTCACAAACCCGTGGGGCAGCGTGGGCGCCTCAGGGCCGTGAAAACCCAGGTGTTTATTAGTCGCCACTCATTTAATGATTTCCTAACTGTAACCTGCCACATTGTATCTGTGGGAAGTAAAAAAGTGTGTGTGATATGCATATTACATATACAGACATACGTATGTTCATACATGTGTATGCACATGTGCACACACACACACATATGTAACGAATTCAGAGGTTGCCCATCTATCGGAAATGGGAGAGATGGCATCTTTCAAGGACTTGAACAGTCAGGGGTGCTGCCCAAAGGCAGAATCAGGCAGGTGGCAGGTGCGTGAGGAGAGCGGGTCTGTCTCAGATTCCGCGCTGGACTCGGAAGCCGACTACAGCTTGGGAGCCGGGCTGGGCCTTCCACTTCTTAGTTCCTGAAACACTCAAAATATTACTTTTATAAATTAAAAAATGAGCATTGCCATTATTTTTCAGACAACAGACATCATTATAATAATTATAAGAGATATGTGTAACTGTTTTATAATGTATACATAATCATATAAATATTCATAATTACATATGACAGTTATACAGAGTCGTGTAATAATTATGATAGACTTGGTGAGACTCTGGATGGCTGAGCTGTCACATAACTGAGTCTCTGACGTTAAGCAGAAGTTCGCCGAGGCTCCTGTTTGACTGTCTGTAAAAGCTGTACATTTGTGGGTCTGTTTTAGGGGTCACTGCTGACTCAGCCCGGTGTTTCCTGACCTTATAGTTGGCTGCTAGTTTGGGGGGGCTGAGCCCAAGTCATCCAGGATTCTCCATCACAAGGGAAGATGAACTTTTCTTACAAAGACACGGCTTTAGATCAGCAGGGGGAACAAATTTCCTGGCCAACCAAATGGCTTCTTTCCTAAAATCTACCCTGCACCCCCACCTCCCAGTAACACTCCCTTTTCAAGTTGAAGAGGTTAAGCGTTGGCCTCATGGACTTGTCAGATGTTAACGCCTCCTGTTTCCCCCAGCTTTTTGGACAACGCGGCTAGGAAAGAACTTCAAAGTGTGGGACACGTTTACACGACACCTGACACACGTCTCAGGACTGAGTCCAGCGAGGACCCCACACGGGAACAGAGCAAATGGAGTTTCCAAGATGGGCTTTAGGTGCCATTTGAGCAGCTCAGACACAAGTGACACAATTGTATCTTTGATCTCCTAGCACAGCTTCAAAGCAGCCATGGATCAGCCTGCAGGAGCGGCAGCTGCTGCAGACCCGTCAATTATTAATGCGCGAGGCTGCAGGCCTCCCACCTCGCCCTTGTTCCTCAGATAAAAGGCGCAGGAAAGGGCCAGCAGCCAGGCTTGCTGCCCCCCCCCC